ATTTGGGAGACTTTTGGGGGGATTTGGAGTATTTTAGGAGGGTTTGGGGGTATTTTGGGGCGGTTTGAGGGTATTTGGGGAGGTTTGGGAATATTTGGGTACGGTTTGGGGGTATTTTGGGGAGATTTTGGGATATTTGGGGATGTTTGGGGATATTTTGGGGAGATTTGGGAGACTTTTGGGGGGATTTTGAGTATTTTAGGAGGGTTTGGGGGTATTTTGGGGAGGTTTAGGAATATTTGGGGAGGTTTGGGGATATTTGGGGAGGTTTGGGAATATTCAGGGGGGTTTTGGGAGTATTTTGGGGAGGTTTGAGGGTATTTTGGGGAGGTTTGGGGGTATTTTAGGGAGGTTTGAGGATATTTTGGGGAGGTTTGAGGGTATTTGGGTAGGGTTTGGGGGTATTTTAGGGAGGTTTGAGGATATTTTGGGGAGGTTTGAGTGTATTTGAGGAGATTTCAAGACATTTTGAGGAAGATTTGAAAAGCTCTGGAGGAATCTGAACCAACCACAACAATCCCTACGCCGATTCCAGGAGCTTCCCAAACATTTTTGGCCGCGTCTAAAAACATTCCCACGGCTTTTCCCCCCCTCGGCGTATCCGGGGTGGGCTCTGGGGAGGATTTTGGGGGTCTCAGGGGGTCTCAATCACCCTTCCCACCCCTCAGATGCCCTGAGGGAGACCCGGAAATACAGCGTGGGCGAGCGGGAGGCGCTGAGCAGCAGCCCGGCCGCCCTGGAGCATTTCCACATGAAACTCTTCCGCGCCCAGAGGAACCTTTACCTGGCTGGCTTCGCCCTGCTGCTCTCCTTGTGAGCCTGGGGGTCATCTGGGGGGTCCTGGAGGCGATTTGGGGGGTCCTGGAGTCAATTTGTGGGGTCCTGGAGCTGATTTGGGTGGTCTGGGAGGGGTTAGGAGCTGTTTTAGGGGAGTGGGAAGGGGATCTGGAGTCAATTTGGGAGGTCTGGAGTCAATTTGGGGGGTCCTGGAGCTGATTTGGGGGGTCTGGAGTCGATATTTGGGGAGTTGGGATGGGTTAGGAGCTGTTTTAGGGGAGTGGGAAGGGGATCTGGAGTCAATTTGGGAGGTCTGGAGTCAATTTGGGGGGTCCTGGAGCCAATTGGGGGTCCTGGAGTCAATTTTGGGGGGTCTGGGATGGGTTAGGAGCTGTTTTAGGGGAGTGGGAGGGGGCTTTACCTGGCTGGCTTCGCCCTGCTGCTCTCCTTGTGAGCCTGGCGGGGATCTGGGGGGTCCTGGAGCTGATTTGGGGGGTCTGGAGTCGATATTTGGGGAGTTGG